TATCCAGTTCACGATGGAGATGGAAACTGATTCATCCCTACCGTTTCTCGATGTTTTCATCAAGAAAAACCAATCCCAAGGTTTCCATTACTCTCTTTATCGAAAACCCACACATACCAATCGTTACTTGCATGCCAACTCTCACCATCCACCTTCACAAATTAATTCAGTCATTAATACCCTTGTCTCCAGATCAATACGCCTTTCCGATGATGCAAGTAGACCCGCTGAGCTCTCTTGTTTAAAACAAGCCCTAATCCAAAATGGTTACCGCGAAAATCACATCAATAGGAGCATTCACAGACATCAATCTCCCACTCATTCTCAAATCAAAGGCTCAGAGCCTTATCATACGAAAGCTTTTCTTCCTTATATCAAAGGTGTCACTGACAAAATCGAAAGAATTCTGAAACCAAGAGGAATAAAAACAATATTTACCCCCCAACAAAAACTTTCATCTCTTGTCCGATCTATCAAAGACAATATTCCAAATGAACAACACGGAGTTTATGAAATATCTTGTGCAGACTGTCCCCGATCCTACATAGGCCAAACAAACCGTAGAATCCAAAACAGGATTCATGAACATTCCATTTCTGTTCGCAATTCCGATTCAATTTCAGCTCTTGGTCAACACCATCTTCATACAGGTCATAGAATCGATTTTGAAAACTCCAGAACCATAGCCCCCATCCGCTTCTATAAACCAAGAATCATCCGAGAAGCCATAGAAATAGAAAAAAGGCCAAATTGTCTTAATAAAAGAGATGACGCCATACGATTACCTTCTACATGGAGACCTCTCATAAAGAAAATATCGCCCCCTCCATCCTCGAACCAAAATTCCAAAGTCGGAAATGTACGCGCCAACCCCAGTACCAATTCTCGCGCCAAAGGGCGAGTGTCGTTCAAAAGCCATAACACGCAGCGTGGTCCAAAGCTAATACAGTTGCAAAATGTAACTAATCAGCGGCAGAATGTAATTGGTTATAAGCGGTAGTGAATATACGGAAGTATGATGTAACTAATCACCGGCAGAATGCAAGATGCAAAGGCAAACAGAAGTGACATAAAAGTCTATAATTATTAATAAAGAGTCGACATTAGCGGGACAGTTATATAAGAGAGACAATTATATCTGATCTTAGAAGCTATGGGCGCAGCAGAAATAAATTGTTGATAGAAACAAAAATTGGGAGAAATTGCGGGATGATTGAACATGCTTAAACTTAGATACAAGTCGTCTTCAAAAATCCAAGATCACTGATCACTGTCGAATCCAAGATCAATTCCATCGTAACCATATTTTCCACTTTCGTCAAATCCCTGGTCATACTTTTATGAATGAAAAACAAGCAATATTAACAGCATACCCTCTTTTGCCCCTCAAATAACCTCATCCTCTTGCTTTGTGTGATTATTTGTAGTCTGCTCTTGGGTTTCTCGGAAAATAGCTCTGCAAATATTACTTAACAATTACCTCTACTTAATTTGTTATGAGTTTTACTTATTTTGTTTTTGCTTACTATTTTATCACCCTCAATTCTCTTTGTGACCTACTGATCGTCTTCTTTACCTCTTTGTTGTAGCTGATCTTTATAACGGATCAGTACTTTTACAGTATTGGGTGAGACAATAGGAAAAGCACAGTAAAAAATGTAATCATTAATCAAGGTATATTATATTTTATGTACAATATATTTTCTAAATATTTAAATTTTATAGTAAATAAACATAATTCACTCAACTATTCAAGATCTCACATGCAACAGATACGATCCGAAAAGATGGGAAAAAACGCTCTACATATAAAAAATATTAATATCGCATTAAACGTTTTGTTTCATTCCTTTTTGCTCTTTGGAACAGTTCTGTTAGTTACATCTTTTTGGAAGACTTTTTAGATCTTGCTGTTGAAGGCACTTAAAATTTACAGATAAATATGTACAGTGAAGACATTTATTTTTATATTTTTTATTTAACATTTTATATTTATATTTTTTTATTTAACAATATTTTGACAAACTGGTTTTAAAAGTAAACTTTTATTTTTAACTACGCCTAAGGTGCATAATTGAATGGCATGTTGATATTACCACTTTCGTATACATGACATCTCAGGAAAGAAAAATCTCTACTGACATTTTAACCTTAATCAATCCGTCATAGTTGTATTTTTACGCCCCGAAAAAAAAGCCAAAATATTGTTTATTATAAAGCATATATATATATATATATATATATAATATATATATATATATATATATATATATAAATATATATATATATATATATATATATATATATATATATAGAGTATATGTATATTTAAAAAAAAGGAAACTGACAATTCTTGAAAACGAAAAGGATGACTTTGATAGAAATGTTGACAACAAAAAAAAGTATTTAGAAATGTTACGAACTAATATTATTGCAGTTATTGTCAAGTTACATTCAAATAATCAAAATCCTAAAATGCATGGCAATTTGATTGATATGGCTTCAATAGGATGGCGTACCAGCACATTATGAACAGATGGTACCCGCATTTTTAGATACTGTTTTTCCTACCAGATGAATAGGTAGGAGAGGATTTATATAGTGGCCAGCAAGATCTCCTGATCTAACCGCCCTTAATTTTTAATTTAAGGGTTATTTTAAATCTAAACTGTACTTTAATAGACCTAAATTATCGAAAATGTATAAGAAAGAATTCGTGATAAGGTAAGAAGAGCTGGACCAGGAGCTTTAAGCTGAAGTATTGAAAGAATTTAACCGTCAACATTTGTCTCATTTGGAAACCAATGACATTTAAGTAAAAGTGTTGCCAAGTGTCGCTAAGTACTGGGGGATTCAAAAAGAAAAAATAAATATCATTCTATTTATATACCTTATATATTTATAGCATAAAAGTCACTGTTAGAAATAAAAATGAACCTACAGAAGCATTTTTTCAAGACATTGTTAAATAAAAATATTAAATTTATTCCATCCTAAAGGTCCTCACTGTATTATAAAAACTACTTTTAAATCACATACAGCTCATTCCTAATTAAGTTGGGAAATAAATAGATCGTTAATAAACAATAGACAAGTTCAGTTCAGACAAGTAATCAATAATTACTTGTTTCATATATAATAAACAAATGTTAATGTATAATAAACAGAATTACAAAATTTGAGTATAATTTGGATTTTATTGCCGCTGACGTTGTACCGGTTAAGTTGCAGTACGACTTCAGGTGATCACTCATGTACCTCTTGTACCTACTGTTAATTTTTCAATTTATTTTTTTAACTTTTAAGTTAAATCCCTTGTCATTTTCTCACCTAATTTTAAATAGATCTTTCCAGTACGAACTACATCGCATGGCATTATTTTCACATTTTTCTGTGGTTATGACAAAGAAGTCAATACGCCAAAAGTAAAGTTCTGACAATATTTTTGCTTATCCATTTCGTTACTTTTTGCTATGCTATGACTCTTACTTCGAAAGAGTCTAAAAAACTGGTTATAATTGATATAGTATTACATTTACTCTAAAATGCACTAAGACTATGAAACAAAGTTCCAATATTCAAACAATATGAAAACAATTTTTAAAAATCTCATAAAGGAAAACCTGAACTCATTTAAAAATGGTCTAAACAGCACAGAAAGATCGCCGATTATATATAACCTACTAGCGGTTTACCCCTATAAGGAAAGTATAAACCAACTATTTTTTTTACATTTCTACCGCAACAAACCTTTTTTATTCTTTGAGTAAAATTTTTTAGGCGTATTTAATCGAAATAAATACTTTTTCTATCTTGGTAATTTTTCGAAAAATGCTTCCTTTTCGAGTTATTTGTAATTTTTTGTCGAAAAAATGCCTTAATTAGTGATCTTTGAGGTTTTTTTTTTCTAAAAAACTACTAAACGGATTATAATTCTATAAAAAGCTTTAGGTATAATCTTTACTCGAAGCAATTTGGGAAATTGATTTATTGTAAATTATTTTAAGTATATGTTATTAACAATTTCCGGCCCACTTGGAATAATTTAAAAAAATACATTTGATCTTGAAAAAATATACAGAATCGAATAACAAAAGGTTATCTGACTTACGGTCTTAGTGAAACCCCAAAATAAATTCCATTTTCGACCTTTAACTTCGTCAAACCTAGAAGAGACTAATTTGGCCGGGCAAACGTCGAAACTTAATTTCATGGAATCGTGGTGTGACCAGTCAAACTCCGATCAGGTATTAAAACGTTATTTTTTAATTTCAATGCTTATTAAGTTAATATTGTAATTAAAATAAAAAAAATTAGTCTTTATTCTCACATGGTGAGACAGTATGATGTTTAGAACCGCACAATACGTTGGAACTTTTATATTTACATGATTTTGAAAAGCATTTTTTATTGTAGTATAATTTTATACTGAAGCCTGTTTCCCAAATTTGGAATCTTTTGCACTGATTAGTGACGATCAAAACGTTGTCGAACAAACCGGTACCGATATAAAGAAAAAAAACTTTGGCATCAGTATAACACAATGAAAAATTAAACTTGTTTATTGTTTAAATAACTGATTTAATTGATTGTACTGTTTCAAAAACAATCATATCTTCTCTTTTGAGATTTATTTTAAATTAGTAAGGGTATCTTCTGCTTTAAAATACGAAATAAAGAAAATTAAGAAACTTCTTTCTAAAAGATAAAAGTAAACAAGCAAAATATTAGAATAAGTTTTATCCAAATAAGGCAAATCTTAATACTGATTTAATTAAATCTACAGTAAGATATATCACATTCTTTGATTGTAAAATATCATTATACATGGTAGTTATAAACCAGTTTTCAAAGAAATAATACGTTTTTTGGTCATTTTAATGACAATACCTTTTGTCTTTTAGTAAATCATCGTTCTTAATAATTAATTATAATCTATATAGTTAAAAAAAATGACGGTATTTTTTAAAAGAATCAATATTAAAATCACATAGTTTCTTTCACCACGGTCTCCAAGGTTTATCTTCCTCAGGCTCCGCTTTCCTTACTACCAAAGACAATGGCCTCGGTTGGCTGTACATAGATTCCATAGGTTCGGGACTATGACTGGGAGAATAATTTGAGTAACTGCTGGCCGCTGATGTGGTTGAAGCGGTTCTTTCCGGTACTATTGGCACTAATAATGGTACCACGGCCGAAGAATACTGTGGCTGTGCTTGTAAAGTTGCAGGAAGTACCAGAGCTAAATCCCCATTCGGTAGTCTTGTCGGTACTAGTTGAACTCCAGTACCATTACTGTTGCTAAGAATAATGCCACTGCTTTGGGGTACTTGCTGCTCTAGAGGTTTTTGAGTATTTGGAAGTATGTGAACCTGTACTTGAGGAACTTCTTGTGGTTTGGAACCTTGGCTGAGACAATTGGCTAGATGCTGAAGTAACCTTCGTCGAACGATTGGATCTAAACCTGGAAATCTACCGACTTCAGAAGCGCACTCGCTAAACCCTGCTCTAAATTTATTAACTACTAAGGGATCTGCCGCCGCTGACATTGCGACTTGCTGTCTTTGAAGATTCTGTAAATGTTTGACTGTCATCTCGAGGATGTCTGCTTTTTCAAGCTTCGAATGTCTGGCAGGCTAGAAAAAATAATGTGATATATTTTTTATAGTATAGCTCTTATATCTAATAAAAAATAAGGTTATTATGTACACTAAAGAATTCATTAAATGAGCAATCGAGCCATTCCCACTAAAACGTATTTAGATGCCAAAAGACTTCGGTAACAATGATAGCGAAAACTAATGATGAGTGTTATTAATTTTTTGACACAAAAATAATGCTGGTTTTTTAAAGACTTTTTTAATGACTGTAAAAAAACACTCTTGTATTGTTAAGATTTGTTCGTGTAGTTTAATTGTCGATGTAGTATTTTTTTAGAACGCAATTATTTATTAATACATATTATGATCAAAGGAATGTGGTATTGTCCATAATGGGTAAGTGGATTTAATCTATCTTATGTACTTATTTATTAATTAGATACTGCATATGACGCATTTTTCAATGAAACTGAAGTGAGAAAAAAAAATAAAAAATATCAATACAACGTAATTACAAATTTCGTAAAAAAAATTTGTTGACTTGTTGGGAAAGGAGAAGCTACTCACTACATAAGTAACCTTTTAAAGATATAACTATGTATGGATCTCAATAATGGTAAAATGTAATTTAGGTATATTTCTCATTAAATATATCGACCCCGTTGGTACAACCTTTGTCACTCCAATATCAGCTCAGACAAAAGAAAAAAAACTCATCGGAAATACGAAACGTGTATCATTTTACAGGGTCAGAAAAAAAGTAAAATAACAAAATCCACGATGAATACAAAAATGAACGAAAATAAAGACGTATGGATGAATTAATATAAAAATATTGATTTAGTAACTACCAATAAATCATGTTATGTTATGCAGACGACGCCGCATTAATCGCCGAGACAGAAGACGGGCTCCAAAGATTAACATACTTCTTCAATACAACAGCCAGGAAATACAATATGATAATATCAGCAAAAAAAACCAAATGTATAACAACATCTAAATACCCACTACGATGTAAAATCGAAATTTATGGGAAAATAATAAAGCGAGAAGCAAGGTTTAGACATCTGGAAGTAGATATAACTAGTTACGGAGATGTTGAAGAAGAAGTACGACAACAAAGCTTAAAGACAAGTAAAGCGGCGGGATCTCTTAATGACACAATCTGGAAAAACAAACACCTAAGACAAGACACAAAGACAAGAATCTATAAAGCAGCCATTAGACCTATATTAACATACACGGCGGAGACAAGACCTAACACATCTAAAACGAGACGACTGCTAGAAACAACAAAGATGAAAATACTACGACGAATATCAGGGAAAAATCTGTTGAATAGGGAGAGAAGCTAAAACATAAGAAAGGCATGCAATATAGAAGACATACATGGATGGGTGACAAAACGGAAACAGGAGTGGAACGAACACATGAGTAGAATGGCAGAGAATAGGATAGTACGAATAGCACGAGATTAGTCACCAAATGGACGAAGAAGTATTGACAGACCAAGAAAAAGATGGTGCGACAATTTAAACAATTTAGGAGGCTAATATTGAAGAAGAATCAGACTTTAAAGCATACATACAAGAAGGAATAAGACAATAAAAAAGCACACAAACTCCGATGATTAAATGAAAAGAATTATAAACTATAACTACTCAAATATAAATTAATTTTTAAAATATTCTAGGTTTGATGATGAATGACACACAATCAAAACATGTCATTAAAGGTGTTTTTATAGAAAAACATATGTAACGCATGAGAATACGTTGAAGGTCATCAATTTTTCAGTAAACACGTAACATAACAAATTAAATTGTAGATTTGCGTAAATTCGGTCTTGCTTTTAACAAAAATATAGTGGCGTATTTTTTCATTTCTTGCATGATGATGATAGCAGCTTACGATATAAGTTCTGTTTAGATTGACTTTTTGGCTGTTTAAACCGAGTTTTGGGCTATTTAGATCATTTTTGAAAATGTAGACATTTTTAAAATCTGATTAATACTGGGTGTGTCACAACATATTTTATTAATGTCCTAATATTGTTTCAGATATGACAGTAATACGCATGCGTACACAATGTACACATTATATCAGAAAATTAAAATTTATGACAAACAAGTAATTGTGTACGAATAGCAAACAGTATATAAAAAAAATGACAGGAAACGACTGAATAACTCTGATGTAGCGTAAGGTAATTAGGTAATAATATTATATGGAATATATTATATGGAGATAGGGAAGATAAAAGACTCAAAAGAATGGGTTGAGGTATTAAAATAAGTCATAGGAAGGTCTAAAAAATATAATGCTCTTTATTATAGCCATTTAAATATTGGAAATATGAAACATAAAAAATATATACATATAGGAGTTTGTGCGCTGTTCGGGAGATCCAAAGATGATGGATAACGGTTTAAACGACTCAATTATCCTGACTAAAAACCAACAAATTGCTATCTCTCTCGAATATACACCAACCATATAGTTCAGCTGCTGCAATTTTTGATATGAAAAATAAATAGACAAACAAACAAAAGAATCGTATAAATATAACTTCGTAAAGTTAGGACAAAATATATTTTAAATTCTAATAAGGAAAAAAAAAAGATTCTTGACTAATGATAATGTAAATAAATAATATTATATTGCAAAGGAAATGAGGATTCTTATAACCAACGTTTGAAATTGTGTGGTGGCAGGAGACGACTGAACTTAATATACTGATATTTAGTGTTAATCGGTATTTATCGCAAGAATTTTTAAGTCCCGCTGTCGAGTAAATCTTATTACAAGTTGAACATAAAATGGATCGTGGATATATGCAAATTTCAAAATGAACCATCTAAAGGTATTTTAATACAAAGAGGTATCCGTGAGAAAAGCTAGCTAATCTTGTGACTTTGTATAATATGTTAATATCTTACGACACGCCGCAGTGATATCAACTTATCTAAGCATACTTGTGCTCTTGCCCAGCATGCTATTAACACTAAGCACAAAGTGGACTTTAATGAAGTTAAGATTCTTGGCAATAAACGCAATCTCGTGAAAAGACACTTTTTGGAAATGTGTTCAATACACCCTAATGCTCTTAATAAGAGAACTGGCATTAGTAACTTGAGCCAAATTTATCATGCATTAATTTTGCAGGATTAGACTTAATATATTCTTTACTTTAAAATTGTCCCTTAAGGTGTATGTCTACCTAAGGTAAGGACTACCTTTATAAAAATAAAAAAATTATTTTGTAATCGTGATATTAGCATTCATCTACGAACTAGAATGTTAAAATGCTATGTATTCAGTACTTTACTTTACGGTATTGAGGCATGGACTCTTAAACAGAGGAATATTAAAAATCTTGAAAGCTTTGAGATGACATTTACCTTATTACATATAGTTTTCTTTGATTAAATTGTTTAATAAAATTTTTAAATTAAAACTTATTCATATAATCTGTTTTAATCTCAGTTCCAAACGCTATGAACCTTGGACTATGGAAGTTGAATCAATCTTCACTTGTTGGCTGGCTAACCAGTCACAACGTAGACTTATTAATATATGATATTTTGGATTGACCTCGCTTTTTTATTGATTGTATCTCACAACCGATCACTGGGGGGAAAATGGTGATCTTAACCACCTTTTTCTTTCATTTTTTGGTTTTTTACTGACAAGTTGTCACCCAAATTTATCATATTGTTTAAGTGTACCGCTCTATTGCACGAGAGGTTGGTAACTGCCTTGCTGCTGTCAATAAATTTTTTTGACCTCAAGGCGACTGTCTCTTCACGTTGTTTGCGTGGGTGTTAAACATGTTGCTTTTGATTTACCTAGAGCACCGTATAAGCTAAAGACTGGTAACTTCATTTTACTTTTAAATATTATATTTCAATCTTAATTTATTAATGATGTTACCTAAGGTTAAAATTAAATTTAACTAATAATATATTTTTGAAAGTTCATCTTACGATCTTTCTAGTTCTCTTTCATACTAATTTCAATGTGTTTTACTTAAAAAAAATTTTACATAATTTTTTTATATACATGTACATTTACCACATATTCTTTTGCTGTGCTAAGTTTGTTAATTTGTAAATTGTATCTAGTTTAAATTAATTGTTTATACAACATGATCTCAGAATGTCCATTGTAGTAAGCTTTTTTACACATTTAAGATCATTGACTTCTACATGTCTTTTTGAGGTAACACAATTGTATTAACTTTTCAATGGATGTTTGGTTTTTCATACTGTTCTTTTTAGATGAACTGATGATGCTTTCCGATTAGAAAGCGAAACGTCTTCAATAAATAGATAAAGTAGCCACTTTCTTTGTCTTTTTTCTCCACCTTTTGACCGAAAAACCCACCACTCTTTGAGTGATCCTTATTGTATATTGGATTGAGGGTCGTACTCCTTTTCTCGATATATATCTTGGACATTGAAGAAACAACACATAAAAAAATAGAAGCGTTCGAAATGTGGCGTTACAGAAGAATGTTAAAAATTCAGTGGGATCAAAGGATTACCAATGCTGAGGTACTACGACGTCTAAATAAGGAGTTAAAAATTATAAACAGCATGAAAAGAAGAAAACTAGAGTATTTGGGTCACACAACCAGAGGAGAAAAATATGAGCTGCTGAGAATTATTATTCAAGGAAGGATCCAAGGAAGAAGAAGTATAGGAAGAAGACGTATCTCCTGGCTGAGGAACCTTCGAGAATGGTTTAACTGTAGTTCACTACAACTTTTCAGTGCAGCAGCCAACAAAGTGACCATAGCCGTTATGATATCCAATCCAACCTCCGATAGGAGATGGAACTTTAAGAAGAAGAATATATAATATATATATATATATATATATATATATATATATATATATATAATATATGTATATATATATAATATATATGTATATATATTATATATATATATATATATATATAATATATATGTATATATATATATAATATATATGTATATATATATATATATATATATATATATATATATA